AAACCTGGGAGATTTAACATTACAATAATGGCAGGTTATCGAAATATAATTTAAAATGGCCACATTACATTGAATTTGATGCAATATATTAGCAAAAGTACAGGAAAAAGAAATAATACTTTTTTTAAATAATGCAATGAAATTATTTAGGGGGGCTAAAGACATTTTTAGGGAGGCTGAAGCCTCCCTAAAATAGGCCTAAAGACGCCCATGTCTGGTATCAAGATGGGTTTGCGTGTGTGTGTGTGTGTGTGTGTGTGTGTGTGTGTGTGTGTGTGTATGTGTGTGTGTGTGTGTGTGACAGAAGGACTTTTGACTTGGATCTTCATCTTTATTTACAATAGCGTCTGTTCAGGTGTACTTGTCCAGTATCCCACTCCTAATCGCACTTACTTAAGCTTACTCACTGCACTACTGCACATTTGGAAGAACTGAAACAATAAGTGGTACATTTAATTCTGTTTAAGTGCAAAGTGCGTCAGGGGAGAATACAGGATTTGTACATGTCATTCTCGCCGCTCAGGCCCAGCCCAGATGAATGAGGAAGTGTGCCACCAGCGCAACAACTGATGGAGTGAAACACATTACAAAACTGACTGGGAGTAGACTGAGGGGAAAACCAAAAAACCAGCCAATTCTAGATCAAGTCTGAAAAGACGTTTAAAAACGTCTTTGGGAGTGAATGAGTAATGAAGACGTACGATGTAGAAAATAAATGGATGACGTTGTCACAGATAAAGACAAAACGAAAGCGCCATCGTTCAAGTCAGTGAGGGGCAGTGATGAATCGACTGGGAAGCTTTTATTTGTCAACATAACTTTGAGGAACATGATTGTCGGCCAGCGGCACGGTGGGTGACTGGTTAGCACGGTAAGAGAATTTCTCTTCACATAAAAAACACGTGTCTCAACACAAGACAAAAAAAAAATGCTTTTGAATGTCCTTCTCACGGGTTCGGGATTTCTCCGGAATTGAATCGGATGCCACAAACAGAGACATGAATAAGAACTTCCAAAAAAGATTTATGAAAGAAAAATGCAAGATCGACAAAGTACAACGAAAGTCGCTGGTAACCGAGAACCAAAAGTAAACGGGACACAAAAAGCGCTTGCAACATGCAAGGAAAAATGACGCAAAGTCACTTGTCACAAAGGCCAAGGAAATCTCATTACATGATCAAAATACAATCGAGATTAACACGATTACGAAAATACTACTTAATTGAGCAAAGACAATACCAGAACAAGAGAACTATGAGGCATGAAGCGTCTAGATTAGAATAATCAAACGCTTGGTAGGAGAATCGTGAGCAATGCTGAGTAATCTGACTTCGAGTAGTTGGCGTGGCACTTCTTTTAAAGGCAGATGATGATAACGCGGAAGAGGTGCAGCACTGGGAATGCCCTCTGAACTCGCCGGAACTGAAACACAAACAGCACAGAACCATGAGAGTCCATTTACACATGCGCGTTAATTAAAACAAATTCTTCAGTGGAAATATCCCATATTACAAAGTGGACACCTGCAGTTTATACTCCAGCGCGGCCTATACAGTATATGTACACGATCGTTTTAAAATTTAGCGGGTGCAACTTTTATGCAATAGTTTGGAAATTACGGTAGTCTTTCTCGTCAATTATTTTCTGTCAGAAAAACTTCTCAAAAACAGACAAATACCGTATTGGCCCGAATATAAGACGGTGTTTTTTGCATTGAAATAAGACTGAAATAGTGGGTGTCGTCTTATATTCGGGGTCTAGACATTATACCCATTGATGACGCTAGATGGCGGCAGATATCATCGACGCGAATGCTGAACTTCACTCCCCAGGCCAAAATGAACCCCTGTCACGAAGAATTAAAAATAAAAATAGCGGTAGCACGCAGAAGAAAAATAAAAAATAGCAGGAAGAAAGAAAAGAGAAGAAAATAATCGAAGAGATAACAGAAAATGGAGAAACGTAGCGACAATCTGGAGAAAAGTGGGTCCAAGATCGGCCAGGATAACCGGCAGCTGAGGAGAAGTTATGATGTAATTTACATTTCAAAAACCAGAAGCCATTCATTTACGAATGTGATTGCACTTCAGTTTACATATTTAAATGTTCGGATATTAAGATTTGAATGAGGCAAAATAACATGCTTTTTCTCTCAAATATATTGTTATAATCATTTGTTTCAGATGTACTGTAATTATTTTCTGTATAAAAATTAATTTGGTGTTCAAAGTCTTTTTTCAAACTTGAGTCTTGAAAAAGAAGGGGTCGTCTTACAATCAGGGCCGTCTTATATTCGGGCCAATACGGTAATAAAAAAATGAATGTAGGCTGTCATGTAAATACAGTACCGGTAATACCCTAAGAGGCATTTGTTCCCTCCAGTACATCGCGGCGTCTCATCAAGATTTTCAGCAGTTCGCCATCCGGTGATGATGACGACACTTGTGTTGGTGAGGAAACACTTGTGTCAAGATTCCCCTGAAAGATTAAAACAAAAATACAGACACTTCAATCGAAATTTTTAAAGCTACGGAGGAAATAAATGTGATTGTGTTACAGTTACTACATTTTTTTTTCTACATTATAATGTGTCCAGATTCATCAGGCTGCGTCCTCCTAAGGCCAAGTTTGAGGGTCACATGACGGTTATGCTGTCCACAGAGGCTACATTAGGAGGAGCGTTCGAAGGACCCAGTCTGTGAAGGGTCCTTGAGAGGACGCGGTCTATGAATTTGGATGCAGCTTTTTTTTGTACTTCTGTACAATGACATCTGACAGTGGGAGGTTGTCAGACTGATGGGCAGACACAATCAAAACTCCACACAATAAGTATTTGACAAACTCCATTACCATGATGGCTTTAAGTTCCTGGAAGGCCGATTTAGAGGGCTTCCTCGCCATCTAATAAAAGGAAAATGATAAAAGAGAAGCAAAATATAAATACGATACTTATGTCCCATGCAACACATTGAGTCTTAAATGCACCTCCAATTACAAATTGACAAAGCTTAGCATGGAAGTGTTTTACAAGCAAACATCTGTAATTACAAAGAAAGTCAATAGACCATTTCCTATTTTCAAGACAATTACTTCACATACAGTAGCAGGTCCCAATTATTGTGCTGAAGCAATACATCCAAAGATACTTCGCCGGTAGAGCACATACGCGCCTGCAGACCGATATAAGAACGCTAATTAGCAGTCAATTACAGGGTTATGAAGAAGTATTCATGAACTTAGAATTTGTTTTTTTCACAACATATCCAGTAACATTCTGAACTGCTTATCCTTAGTACGGTCGTTCATAGACAAATTGGTTCAGAACACACGTTGATGCAGTTAACACATGCATGCACGCAAACACAACAATGTGAAAGTACTGTATTTTTTGCACTATAAGGCGCTTCGGACAATAAAGGGCACCTTCAATGAATGGCCTTTTTTAAAACTGTTTTCATATATTGGGCGCACTGCATTATAAGGCATATAGAATAAAAGCTACAATAGTGGCTGCATTTGCGCTATGCATCAACTAGATGGAGCTACGCGAAAGGGCCTCAAAATAGTAGCTCAAAAAATAGTTGTAGGTTTGAGTGTGTGGTGGCGAATACATATGTCAATTAGTGTCAGGCAGAACCCTTTTCGGTTACAATTGATTCCTGCTAATAGTCACCACTGGATGGCATAAGAACACATTAACAGGGAAACAACTCAATGGGTAATATATAGAGCAGTGTTTTTCAACCCGTGTGCCGCGGCACACTGGTGTGCCGCGAGACATTGTCAGGTGTGCCGCGGGAAAATATCCAATTTGTATGCCTGTGCGGTCTTTAGCCCAGAAAGTAATCATGTAGTACCCTCCCATACCGCTAGGGAGCAGCAACAGCTAGCCAATTGCCTTGTGTTTCGACGAGAGACAAGCGAATTTGTGACGCATGGATGCAGGACGACGGTGAAACAATAAATATGAAAGATGATAAAATACTGTTTTCTTTGTGTTCATTTGACTCCAATTCAAGCTGTTATAACATCATTCTTCAATGTTAAAAACGGTTATAGTAACAATATAACACGTTAATCGTTAAAATAAGCGTGGGGGGGGGGGTCACATTTTCAGCTAGTGGTGTGCCGTGAGATTTTTTTCAATGAAAGAAGTGTGCCTTGGCTCAAAAAAGTTTGAAAAACACTGATATAGAGAGTGTGAAACCATTTATAAAACACATCGCATTACTGGTCGGCTTTTGGGAAAATTGAACACTTTTCAGTGCGCCTTATAGTCCATTTGATTTATTAGTGCTGTCAAGAGATTAAAAAAAGGTGAGATTAATTAATTATGATGTCTAATTAATTGATCAAATTAATATATTTTAATCTCATCTAAAAATTGCTGAGAAAACCCCTATTTTCGTTTTAAATTCATTACATTATTGAGCATTGAGGCAGATCAAAAGATTCACATCGCAAAAAAGTGGAATTATAAAGTATTTTATTGTTTTTAAACAGACTTGAAAAGATGCAGTCCAAGCCATTTACCTTCTGCTATATTTGAGACTAATCCCAAATCCTACCTGCAACCTTTAGTTTCGACCACCAGGGGAATATCACTGTTTTGTTTTGTAAATCTCCAAATAATTACAAAATAAAAATAAAAGTGAACACCAGGTCCAGAAAAAGTGCTTAGGTTAACATATCAAAAACAGTAAGAACACTTTTCTGAGCAATACAAGTACTGAACACGGAACTTGCTTCAGATAAGAAATAAAACAGACTCTTAAAACACAGTGCTTTAAGTTAGCACTTCAGAAATAACACTGTTCATCATGACAAAATAAAGTGCTGAAATAAACATCAACCACTTCTAATAGGCTAGAGAGGACACAGCAGCTATGCTGACTTCATGCCTCGTACGCAAAGCTCCCTCTATTACTTTCGGTGTTAACGTTAGCCGTGGCTGCACTCGCAACTGGGTGCTTTGCATTGATGTAGGAGGCTAATCTTGAGCTGCTTCGGTCATAAGCAAACTCCTTAAAAATTAGTTACAACACTGTACCTTTATCAATAGTGCCGTTAGGGCTTTTTTGGAACGTAAATTTTCCATTCATTGGGCCGAGAACTCTCACATGCGCCTCCATTTTCACCTCTCCTCTCCTCACCGCTGCTTACTTAGCCCGCCCAACTCCAATGGGAGCCAATCTGCTTATGCTAAACAAGCCCACACATAATGACAGTCAATCAACGTCCACTTCAGGCTGTGACTGACAGTTGTTTCCCCACCCTCACCAACTCGAACACAGGAAGCCAACACATAAAAAGGGATATTGGAAAAAGGTAACCCACCTACAGAAACAATAAAGTTAGAGATTAAAATATAGATTAACGCGATTAAAAACCATAACGCGCTAAATAGGCTGTAATTAATTAATCGCAATTAACGTGATAATATGTCACCTCTATATTGCTTATTTTGTTAATGTTGATGGTTGTCAGTAAATTCAAAAAAAATTCTACACTTTCCACATCCTTTTGGATTGATTTTTCATTTTTTCTTTAAAAAATGCTTAGTTTTTACTCAACCCATAGTAATATCATTATCATATCATTATCGAGATATCTGGCAAAAATATTGAGAGATTAAATTTTAGCCAAATCGCACAACCCTACTGAGCACATTAACTCAGTGGACAAAAAAACAAAACAAAAACAAAAACATACAGTAAGGTTTAAGCGTGAGGAAGTCAAAGCCAAAAAGTTGCTTTTATTTTGGAGTTTGATAAGGACAGCTGCCTCTGAAAGTGTTGGTTTCAGAAATCCGCTCCCCCCGCCCCCCAGACATTGACTAATGACACGGCTGTGCACCTGCACCTCAAAGAGAAACATCATTCTTGAGAACAAAATATAGATATTCTGGACAGAGAAGACAAATGGTTTGAAAGAGGAGTGAGAGAGGCTGTCTATATTAAGGTTGAGAAACCAACTCTAAACAGAGGAGGGAGGGAACTTACAACACCACTTATCTCCCACATACAATGCCACCTTCCAAAGACATTCTATTATTGAGCCTCTAACAAATAACAAACAAACCACATAGCCACTTTTGGCCTTCAGGTGCCTCCACAAACCATTATCACAACCGAAACGAATATTACAGATGATGATTCCGCCCAAATGACTGTTGTTGGAAGACGCAGAAGCCTTTCCTCCATGCATCTTAACGAATATCATTTTGCATCCCAGAAGAGTGATACCATTTGTGTTGGGGGCAGGACTCGAACTTAGGGGATAAATAATCATCTCTCCACACCAACATTGAGGCTCCAGCTGTTCAATTGTGGTGGGCGGATGGATCCAAGTAAAAGAATATCGATAGCGACATTGGTATTGATATTGGCGGACATCGCTGTTGGCAGATAGAAAGAAGTTTTTGTTTCGCTCCTGTATGATCTTGCTGCAGGGTTCTTGAGAGGTAACTGACTGCGTCCTTGCGTGGCTACTCCCCACCGACAAATTTAGTGTCTCTCCAGACAGCACAGCCACACTTTGCTCCTCCTACCCGTCTTTTGTTTTGATGTTGTTTTCCTCACCTGAGCAGCACCCGTTTAATGAGCAGGTGGACTTAGCACGCCTGTGTGGCTTTATTTTAAGAGCGCAAATGATATTGCCAACATTGGTAAGAAGGGACGAGAATATTGTGGAAACACTAAAGATTGATTGAATCCAACAAGGAATAAGTGACCCGTTAGAAATCAATGAACGAACTGCAAAAACGCAGAGGGGAGAGAAATCCCCCACCACCTGGATTCAACCACAGTTAGAAATCAATGAACGAACTGCAAAAACGGAGAGGGGAGAGAAATCCCCCACCACCTGGATTCAACAGAGCCAAACCTCAGATGAAGACGCAGAGTTAATTGTGAGAAGTCTTTCAGTCCAACAGACAATTTCCAGGTAAATAACAGTTGTGAAAGCAATATTTTAGATATCTTCAACATTAGTTGAGGTCAATTCAATACCCCGAAGACAAAATTAATGCATATATTCACATTATTATTGTGATTATTATGTTACGCATGATACACATGGAGTGGGAGTATTGCTGTGGGCTGCAGACAGAAAAACGTCAAATTTGCAACTGGAGAGATGTTCATCTGCTTGCTGGTTCTGACCCTATTAGCTGATTTCATTACACTGTATTTTAAATTACACTGCAAGGATAATAAAGTGACTGTATGACACTTGCATCATAACGCATCACAGTGATCAAATGATTAAATCCTAAAACAAAACAAAAAAATATTGCAATTACCTGTCCCTTGTTAGTAGGTCTCTGCGTGACTGGCCGAAGCTGAACCCCTTTCTTGATCCTGTTCATCATTTCCTCGACGGCCTGCTGCCTGACATCCACTTCTGTAAAACACACACACACACACACACACACACACACACACACACACACACACACACACACACACACACACACACACACGGGGAATCGTGTCAAGAAAGAAAGTGACTAATTTTGATTGCATATGCACAATTAGCAAACACTTGAAACACCAATGATGTATTCTAAAAGCTCATAGGACCAGTTGTTTTTCATGATATTGAAGGAACCTCGGGTTTGAGTTTTATTAGACTGATATTGATTACGAAGCCAAGAAATGAGAAAAATCAGTGAGAATATGTTCCCTCAATTTACTAAATTCTGTACCCTCAGTTTAGCGCATCAAGATGAGGAAGAACAAACACACCATTTGCCGCTGCTCAACCCGCATAAGTGGCAAGATCCAAAGTGTTTCACGGGTCTTGTGCACTACGTGTTAGCACTAGCAGCTAGCACCTCTGCGTTAGCGAACACCACTAGGAATGTCACAGTTTCACAGTGTGCCAGTCACAGCTGTCTGGGCTACCTTTTTCCGAACAGTCGGGTCTGCTCATAATTAATTCATTAATTTACAGCACTACTTTGAGTGGATGGTGAAGGATCCATGTATTTATCTTCTAAGATTGAGGCACACCCCAGCCAAAAATAGTATGCTAACAACAGTCAGGAAGATGCAGTGGAGTGAAGCCTCTGCCAGTCAACGACAGTCGTATGGTTGAAATCACCCTCGTTCGTATTCGATTCATTTGTACAATTATATTTACTTTACTTACATTCTTGAATAGAAAAAAAATTAAGTATTTGCTCTGTCTTGCTAAAAATCAGTCGTGTGCTTTTATGCTTAAACAATAGAAAAGCTTTTGAGTAATCAATAAACCATTTGAATTTTTTTTTACCTGCTCTCTTGTCAGAATTGTGGACCACAAGTGGAATATCGGTGCTGTTTTGTCTCTTTCTGATCAATGACAGCAGCGAGCTATGGAGTGAACACAAATCAATAACTAAAAAAAAAATGCATTCAAAAGCTGCCACAGATGTTCATTTTTTTGTTTTCACTTTGAAAAGTGAAAATCTAACTACAAATGCAAGGTTTCTGTGGTAGAATAAAACAAACAAAGGTACATATTTTCGATCATTTTTCCACCACAATGTGACCAATGGACTGCAGATGAAAAAGAAATTAGATCATTTTGAGAGGAGGGGAAAAAAAATAAAATGGTTGTTCAAGTGTGCACACCCTCTTACAACTCGGTATGTGGCCATTTAGATTTAACCAATTACATTCAAACTCATGTTAAATGGGAGTCAGTATACACCTGGCACCATTTAAACTGCCTCTAATTAAAGCAAAACACGTTTTAGATGTTTTAGTAGGCTTTTCCTGAGACTAAGACTGACTGCTATTTGTTTGGAACTGTTCATCATCCCCCCCATCCCCCACCTTACATATCCATATAAGGTGGGGGGAGTGATGAACAGTTCTAAATACTGTACTCTCTCTCTCTCACACACACACACACACACACACACACACACACACATACATATGTTAAGGGTGCAACAATACATGTATCTGTATTGAATTGTTCATTACACCGGTTACGTTTTGGTGCACACTGCATTGAACAATGTGGGGTTTTTTTTTTTTTGAGACTCCAGCCCACTAACGTAATAGACCCGTAACACTGATTATTCCAAACATAAATAAAAAAAAAAAGAAAAATCATGCATGAAATTGTCAACACGTTGACGAGCAAAACACTTGCTATTTGTTTGACAACACGCCACAGTCGCAGACGTGGAATTGTTGTGCGCGGCATCCCGCTACTGAGGGATTTCATTTTCTGCCTCTTTCATAAAAATAATTAATTTCATCTCTGAGTAGCGAATCGGGAGAAGCAGATCGGATCATGGAATTTCTCAGCCAAGGGAAGAGGAGGAGGGAGCACGGCCAGGGTCCCTCATATTTGATCGGTGAAAACTTGCTCTGAAGCGCTGAATGGAGACCTATCTCCACGGCAAATGTATTGTAAAAAGTCTCCAGCCGACTTATTCACCCATGCAAGAGCTGCTAATGACATTTTTTTATGTGTCAAAATGATGGTGACATCATCGCGGGTCACTATCCCCTTGCGAATAGCATGTCTCGACTGCATTGAATGCTTGCCAAATGATTTTGTTCCCTTCTCCTGACTGATACATTTGAACAATGAGATCCCTCTGATGCTGTGATTCTCTGCCAGGCCATGGCTTATACTGTGCTGTAAGATGTGACTCATCATGTAAAAATTTCGGGAAAAGCCAACAAGAACGGTTGAATTTTTTTCATGGTCAATCCATGGGCTTTAAATTGAAGCAGGTGTGTGCAGTGTGCAGAATTTGAATGTGATTGGTTCATTCTGAAGCTTGCCACATTTCCAGTTATAAAGGTGAGGGGTGTACAACATGATCTTTGTTGTTTATTTTTAGTGTCCCTCTTGAAAAAAAAATAGAGATTGAGCGAGACAGTTTATAGGTCACATAAATGGTGGAAAAAGGTTTGGAATTTATCCTGGTCTCATTGTTTTACATCACAAAAACCTGCCTTTTGAACCACCACTACTACCAGTGGGCAGACTTTTTATAGCATCGTGTATCAGATGATATCAGATCATCTGATATCATATCACACCATATGATATCATATATCAGTCTGCTGACATCAGACAGATGTGTCATATTGTTGTTTTTCAGATGTAATTAAAATTTCGAACCACTCAGGGCGGAAGAAGGTTACCTGAGTGGGTTGAACGCTGCTAAGGTTGGAAGAGGAGGTGGTGGTGGTGGTGGTGGTGGTGGTAGACATGGCGGTACTGGAAGATGTGATGGATTGGAAGCCGTTTCCAATTTCTTTTGAAGTTCTTGAACTGACCAATGCAATGACAAAAGGATTTAAGGACTTGTCATTGGTAGTTGACCTTTCCCAAGCAGGTGTTCCCCATTGATCCTGCTGTTAAAACCATGAAGCTTTTGCAATCAATAAGATGATCATGAATACACCCCTGTTCAAGAACAGAAATTGCAAACAGAAGCAGGCTGCCTTGTTTTCAATCAGGGCTCACCAACATGGTGCCCGCCAGTACCAGGTAGCCCCCACGGACCACATTAGTACCTCACTGGACTCACCAGTGATGAGACTTTGTGATTTTCTCGGAGTGTTGTAGAAATGATCGTTTGACAATGGAAACACTGGCAGAGATTTATAGAAATAAAGAAATGAAGTGTTGCATACTATATGATATGTATCGATTTCCTAACCCTTCCTTAACCCTTTGAGGCACAGCGGTTACTAGAGTGGACAGTTTATCATGTTATCAGGTTACAGGGTGCATGAAAGGGTTAATGTGAAGAATCACGAACATGATTAGGCCAAACAAAAAAGATAGTGTGTTTCCGGTAACAATAAATTTCAGCATTGGGTCGGTAGGTCGGCCAAAGTTTTTTTTTTCAATCTTTTTTTTTTCCCCCCCATCAAAAATTTAAACAAAATAACCATAAAACATAAAACAAGAAGACATTGAACCGTGGTGTTCATCAAATAGTTCGCTGAATTTTTTCGATACATCAATGGATGCTATTTCCTTAACATTACGGTGCGAGCACGCGACTTTAACACAGAAAACGCGGTTTAAACTGTCGTCGGAGATCGCGGCCGCCGGCATGTTTCAATGTTGTTGACAGACGACAGGGCAAACGACGCACGCGCTCAACCTGAATATCGCGAGAGTTTGCACCGATGTAAACCCTCTACACAAAAATGTAGAGGGTTGTTTGAAAAAAATGCCGACCGTAAAGTTTTTTTTCGACGTAGAAATTTCGGTCGGTCGGGTTACCGGAAACACACTACTTTTTTTCTACGCCTTAGTGTCTTCACATCAATGATTATCAATAACACTGGTGAACTAATCTTAACTCAATTTGTGACTTCCATCCATCCATTCATTCTCTGAGCCGCTTTATCTTCACAGGGGTCTCGGGAAATTTGTGACTTGTGTGTCACAAAATGAAAAACTCACTATAGAGCAGTGTTTGTGCTTTTAGTTTTGCAAACACTGTGAGTGGTTTTACCACAGACATGAATAGTTTTAGAAATTGTGCTACAAGCATCAAAGTTAGTTTGAGCCTTTAGAAAAAAAAACAGTACCCAGTAAGCAAATGTGTTATTTCAAAAGTGTGCATTAACACTGCGGAAGCCCATCGCATTAATTTGTACCAAAGATATAGCCATCACAACTAAAAATAGGGTGACCCCTGTTTTGATTCACCATGCCACAAAGAAATACTGCAATGCAAATAAACAAATACAGTAAATATTCTCTAGTGCAGACTCGTGTTTGCGCTGTCCAATTTGTCCTGATAACAGAAATTCCTCATTTGGGAAATGAGCATGGTACATGTCCTTTATGAACCTGCAAGTATGTTGACAAAATGCACGTGTAACAACACAATCAATAAAATACAAAAATATACTGTCCAAAAACATTATATAACAAAAACTGCAATACAGGTGTATCCAAAAAAATCACAACAGTAAAATATGTACAGTATTTTAATGTTTATTTTTTTTCTGTCTTGGTAAAAAAAATGTTGTCTATTTTGGATTGTTTGGTTGGATGCATTCTTTGGTTTATGACAATGTTTGCCTGCGTGTCATACAGTTTTCTTGCTAGTTGCAAGTAACTGTCCCGTTGATCACCGATGTCTGGTAATTCTTGTGCATACTGATGGATTTGTTGCCATTTGCATTGCTTCCTCGCTGGATGGTGGCTTGTCATCAGGAGTTGAATCGATGCCTTGTTTTTTAAAGTTTCGTAGATTTGCGTCTTTCCGACTCCAAGTGTCTGCTGGATGCTTTTAATTTTGTGTCCAGCCTTGCTCAAACGGATGCATTTCACTCGCTCCGCTCCAATCATTACAGTTCTTCTACGTTTCGATGCCATGATCTACACGACGTAAGTAAATAAAGTTAAAATCTTTCGCAATTACAGTAAAACGCA